TGCTTTAAAACCCTTTTAAAAAGCCCAAAAAAAAGGGGGGTTTGGGCCCCCCTAACCATTACAATTTGGGGGGGGGGGGGTTAGAAGGAAAAATTTACCCATCCGGGATCCTTAAAGAGGGGGGGTTTTTCAAATGTCCCCGGGAAGGTGGTGGGACTCCGCGCCCTGGGTCGGGGGGGGAAGTTTGTTCCACCATTGGGGTGCCAGAGAGCAAACATTTTTGAGGGTGAGGGGGGCTGGTTTCCGCAAAGGGAAGGGGACCCAGAGGCCAGAGGGGGATAAACGCAATGTCCCTTTTGGGGTTTGTAGGGACGATCAGAGTGAAGGACGGGGGTTTTGCCGTTCCCCTCATGCTCCAAAGGCAAGCACCATGGTCTTGTAGGGATGCAGTTTAAATTGGAAGCCAGGGGATGTGCGGGGGAGGGGGGGGGTGGGAGAAACTTGGGAAGGTTGAACACCAGAGGGCTGCGGTTTTCTGGTGATTGTAGGGGTTTAAGGGCACAGGCAGGGAGCCCGCCAACGCGAGTTGCGGTCCAGACGGGAGATGAAAGTGCCGGACCGGCCCGCCCCGTTCCTGTGTAAGGCAGGGTCGCACCTCCGAATGTTGTAGGCAGAACCGCAGGAGGGGCCCGCCTTGAGTTGGGGGGAGAACACAGGGTGTTCCCCGGGTCCCCCTGGTTTTCGCACTCTGGGGGGGGGACAGCGGAGTTGTCCCGTGATGGCAGATCAGGAAGGGCAGCCCTTTCCCGGGGGGAAGAGCAGCTCCTTTTGCCAGGGTTCAGTTGAGGTGGGATCCGCATCCATACTATATGTTGCCAGAAGCGAGATGCGATTCGCCACGGGTGAAAGAAGGGGGAAAGGAAAAGATTAGTTGTGTTTTCCAGCGTAGCAATGATGGGAAAGGCCCATGTGGGTAGACAGAGCCAAGGGATTTGGTTTTGTATGGGGAGAAAAGGAGGGGGCCCAAAACATCCCTGGGGAACCAGTGGTGGAGCACGTGGTCGGAGAAAGTTTCCCGCCACGCCACTTGGAGGAGGACCGGTCAGGTAGCGCAACCAGGGTAAACCCGCCCCGGAGATCCCCAGCTCGGAGAGGGGGGAGGAGGATCTGAGGGTTCACAGTATAAAGGCGCAGACAGATCTAGAAGGACAAAGAGGGGAAGAGAGAGTTAGCTTAGCAGTGCGGAGAGTCTCTGTGACACAGAGAAGAGCAGTCTCAGTTGAATGACCAGTCCTGAAACCTGATTGGTTTGGATCAAGAAGGTCATTCTGAGAGAGATAGCAAGAGAGTTGGCTAAAGACGGCACGCTCAATAGTTTTGGAAAGAAAAGAAAGAAGGGATACTGGTCTGTAGTTGTTGACATCAGTGGGGTCGAGGTGTTGGTTTTTTTGAGAAGGGGAGTAACTCTCGTCTCTCTTGAAGACGGAAGGGACATGGCCAAGCGGTCAAGGATGAGTTGATCAGCGAGGTGAGGGTAGGGAGAAGGTCACCGGAGATGGTCTGGAGAAGGGAGGAGGGGATGGGGTCAAGCGGGCAGGTTGTTGGGCGGCCTGCAGTCACAGTCGCAGGATCTTATCTGGAGAGAGAGGGGAGAAAGAAGTCAAGCATAGGGTAGGGCAGTGGTGAGCAGGACCAGCAGTGTCATTAGGCTTAACAAACAAGGATCGGATGTCGTCAACCTTCTTTTCAAGTGGTTGACGAAGTCATCCACAGAGAGAGAGGAGGGGGGGGAGGGGGGGGGGGAGGATTCAGGAGGGAGGAAAATGTGGCAAAGAGCTTCCTAGGGTTAGAGGCAGGCATGCTTGGAATTTAGAGTGGTAGAAGGTGGCCTTAGCAGCAGAAACAGATGAAGAAAATGTAGAGAGGAGGGAGTGAAAAGATGCCAGGTCGGCAGGGAATTTAGTTTTCTTCCATTTCCGCTCCGCTGCCCCGGAGCTCTGTTCTGTGGAGCTCGCAATGAGTCATCAAGCCACGGAGCTGGAGGGGAGGACGAGCCGGCCGTGAGGATAGGGGACACAGAGAGTCAAAGGATGCAGAAAGGGAGGAGAGGAGGGTTTGAGGAGGCAGAATCAGGAGATTGGAGGGAGAAGGATTGAGCAGAGGGAGAGAGATGATAGGATGGAAGAGGAGAGAGTAGTGGGAGAGAGAGAGCGAAGGTTTGCGGCGGCGCATTACCATCTGTGTAGGGGCAGAGTGATAGTGTGGGGAGGACGAGTGAGAGAGAAAGGAACAAAGTAGTGGTCGGAGACTTGGAGGGGAGTTGCAGTGAGATTAGTAGAGGAGCACATCTAGTGAAGATGAGTCAAGCGTATTGGCCTGCCTTGTGAGTAGGGGGGGACGGTGAGAGGGTGAGGTCAAAAGAGGAGAGGAGTGGAAAGAAGGAGGCAGAGAGAAATGAGTCAATGTGGACATAGGGAGGTTGAAATCCCCCAAAACTGTGAGGGGTGAGCCATCCTCCAGGGAAGGAACTTATCAAGGCGTCAAGCTCATTGATGAAACTCTCCAAGGGAACCTGGAGGGCGATAGATGACAAGGATATTTAAGCTTAAATGGGGCTAGTGACTGTGGACAGCATGGAATTCAAATGAGGAGATAGACAGATGGGTTAGGGGAAAAATTGAGATGTCCACTGGGAGAGATGAGGATTCCTGTACCACCCCCCTCTGACCAGATGCTCTCGGGGTATGACCGAGAACACATGGTCAGACAAGGAGAGAGCAGTAGGAGTAGCGGTGTGTTTCAGTGGTGATCCATGTTTCCGTCAGCGCCAGGAAGTCGAGGGACTGGAGGGTTGGCATAGGCTGGGATGAAGTCAGCTTTGTTATGGTCCCAGCTGCCTTGAGATCATTGACAAGATCCTCCCGTGTAGTTCTGGGCTGATTCCTCACTGTTCTCATGATCATTGCAACTCCACGAGGTGAGATCTTGCATAGAGCCCCAGGCCGAGGGAGATTGACAGTTATTTTGTGTTTCTTCCATTTGCGAATAATCGCACGAACT